AAAAACAACTGCTTGCATATTTTTCATCACATTAGCTGGTAAAATCCAGTAATGACCACAGTGTAAAACCCAGAACAAAGCCATTTACTTCCTAAGCTCTGCATCGAGAGTGGTTCTTGAGCAAATCTGACAGCAATAAAAGACTTGAGAGCTGCAGTCCCCAACCGACAAGACAACGGGAAAGAATGCAGCAAAAATAAGGATTAAAATGCCACAGTTGATATTTTATGCCAGCAGAGGAAGGCGGCTATCATGCCTTCAGAGGAAGCAAACTGAATTGCAGGAACATTTTCATTTTAATCCTTCTCCAAAAGGTGAGTGACCCCCTCTCTGGGGCCGCTGGCCCCTCCTGGAGTGTCAACGTGTGACACAGCCACTCTCCCTCTCTGCCAGTCCTGGGAGGGGCAAAACTTGGGATCTGTTTCATCACACAGACACCACCAGGCCTTGGAATAAAGTGACAGCTAGATTTGTTTTCCAAGCTGATTTTTCATGGCACATGTCCCTAAGCAGCAGATTCCAGAAGGGATATGCATCGCGGCCAAATTTGTCTCGGATGTAAGAGAGGAAGTGACCTACAGCTGGAGGAGTTGCCAAACAGGTGCAAGAGATTGGATGTAGCACCAGGCAGTCCCCTGCCACCAAGGCAATGCCAAGGAACCTGATCTGGGCATTAGCTCCATGCCCTCAGAGCAGCTCCACCATCCTTCCTGCAAGATAACCTCCCCACGAGTTGTTCCACAAATCGTTATCAACCATGTCCCATTGATTTACAGAAATTTAACAGAAAGATTGGTACAAACTATGTGGAATAGTATTCCTCAATAGCAACCAAACAAGCAGAAATCACAGACCAGACCAATTTCGTATAACATATATTAAAAATATCCAAGGTTACTGCCAGTTAGGAATTACCACCAGCTTAGAGCATTAGATTTTTGCATCACACTGAGGCAGATGTTCTGCTTAACCAAGCTTGCTAAAATTTATTATAAACTCTCAAATCAAGCCATTCACAAACAGCCAACAGCCTTTTCTTTATCCAGCCCTACATAACCCAGAACCTCCACAAGACTGATGCAGCTGTTTTGCATTTCCAAACAACATTCAGGCGTAGATTATTAAACTCTGTTTACGTGCCATTTCTCAAGCTCAGCACATACTTAGCTCCTTGTTTTGCTCCTTTCCTCTAAGACGACAAGTTATAGTATCACGTTTTTAAACTCACAAGATTTTCTCCTACTCATCTTGTCGTTTGGAGAGCTAGATTATACTGAGCTCTTAGATTTAGGAAAAAGCTGGAACTTCCTCTGTCCAGTTATTTTCATATATGCAAATACAATACACGTTTCGTACACACAAAAGTAATATATACTCCTTTATGTGTGCGCACGTGTGTATTTATGTATACACACACATACAAACACAGACTCCTATGGGCATCTAAGCCATTTCTATTTGAAATACATAGCCTTTACACTTGGCTGAAGCATCTTCCCCGAATGCCGAGGTACCAGTTCCAACTCAAAGATTTATTTTGGATCCATCATCAACCAAATGGATTCGTTCAACCGAGATTTTTCTCTAGGGAATAGCCCTCTAACAGTCTTCAATGCTTCTGGACCCATCTGAGCTGGCCGCTCCTGTTCCCGTGCCAAGAATGCCGAGGTCACGTCCCCAAAAAAACAGCCCCAAGCATCCCGGTGAGACGGAGCTTCCCGTCCAGATGAGCGGCTTGAAGGACACGGCTTTCGCGAAAACACCGGTAAAATACGAACTCACCACCCCGAGAAGGTCTCAAAGACGCTGGACAATCTCCAGTCGGCTCCACACCAGCCGAGACACCCCGAATCCCGCTTACCTCCCGCCTATGCATCGGGTACCCCGGGGGAGCCCTCCCCCACAGCCCTCACACACCTCGATGTATCCGGCGAGCGCGGCCATGGGCCCGAGAAGCGCCAGGAGGGGCAACATCACTGAGCCCATCGCCGCCGCCATCACCCGCCGCCGCCCGAGCGCAACTGCGGCCGCAGCGCCCCTGCGGGGACCCGCCTCGCCAGGCCACGCCTCCGCCAAGAGTGACAGCCGCACGCGCCAATCGAGAGGCGGCAGCTAGCCGCACCTCCGCAACGCTTCCAGCCAATGGGACGAGGCGCACGGTAGGTGGAGCCGCCCCCCGGCGGGAAATGGCGGCCGGCGCTGACGGGAGCCGTGGGGGGACAGCCGGGGCTGGGGCGTGGCCTGGTCGGGCCTTGCCATATCAGGCCCGAGGGGAAAACTGCGCATAGCGAGCCCCGGAAAAGGCCGTGGCTTGTATGGCCATTTGTAGGCTAAACGATTCACCTCACCACTGCGGTGAGCAGGAACATTCTGGGGTAATAAAAGCCTAATGAGGCGTTTTCCTCATCTAAAAATAAAACAATGATGTTTCCCACTCAAAAAACCGTCTCTACATCTATCCCCGATTTCTCAAAGTTCTCGACCCATGTGCAAGCATCAAGTTCCCAGCCATTTGGGTTTCATAATAAAACTCAACACATATGTCCTTCTTTATTTCTTTTTTCTTAAAATACAGCTGTTGAACGATAAGAACGATAATCTTGATGGCTTCATCTTTCTGCCAACACCAGGTGCTCACCAGACACGACCTGGAAGACATCACATGTGTTGCCACACAAGCTGCTGTGTAAACACAGCACAGCTCTCCATCAACTTTAAATAACATGCATGTATTGAATTAAAAAACAGACACATCACCATCACCACCTTCAGTTTGTGTTTCTTTTCAATCAGAGCACAGCAGCAGTTCCTTCCAGTGCAGATGTTCTGCCACTGCTAGCGCTGCTATTTCAGGACACATTCTGGCTTTAAAACCAGGTTTTTGTGCCAAATTTGCATTGAGGATATTTTAATTTCACCATGTTGCTTTAAAAATGGAAATTTTAAATAATTAGAATTTTAAAATAAGCAAGCCCTTCAGGAAAAAAGCAGATCTACCAAGTGCAGTTGCTGATACCACAGACCTTCCAAATGTGTGCAGAGCATTTATTAGCCCCTTTTTAGTACTTTCCTTGGTTTTCCCAATGGAAATGTAGGTCAGTCAGCTCAGGGATGACAAATGACCACCTTGAAGACACAACCGCTAAAGATCCCACTTGTTTCAAGAACATAAGATCTTTAAAAATACCAATATATTTTAGACTTGATGGATTTTTTTTCACACTGATGTGCAGTGAACCCATTGGCATTAAGTTAGAAAAGCAATATCATGGAAATCACAGAGTGGTTTGGGTTGGAAAAGCTCATCTCGTTCCAGGCCCCTGCCATGGGCCGGGACACCTTCCACTAGACGAGGATAGACTATCCTATAGATTCCATATATTTGCTTTCATTTTTGTGTGAAGATACATGAGGTGCTTAAATGGGATAGAAAAAGATCTTAGCACAGAATGTCCCAGTTACAAAACATTTCCATTCTTAACTTCCATATTCTTTACTGGCTCTTACAAGTGCCGTTTTCTGAAATAGGAACATTGCTGTTTTCTGAAATAGGAACATTGCTGAAATATTGCAGATGGGGTAAATCTGTATGACAGATCAATAAGCAGCCCTGTTTTAATTAAAATTGCTGACTGTTCCACTGGTCACTTACTATAGTCTCTTTCTTACACTATTTGAAAACCCTTAAATCTCTTTTACTGCAGTCCTCTGGCATATATAATTCTCTTTTTAGTCTGGCCAAGTTCAGTTGAAAAACAGAGTAACAAGTTGCTTTTGAAAACTGGCACATTTTATGTAAGTATTTTAATGTGCAATATGAATACAGGAGTAAATAACAAGACAATTCTGAATTAAGCTTTTCCCTTTACTTAAAAAGGAGGGATGGGTTTTTTTCCCCCCCCAGTCTAAAATGTACAAGTTCTTTATAAATCTTTGGGATGGGATTTTCATTCGAGGTTGAATTTATATAGTATTTAAAGTGCTATATGTGAGATGCAAAGCTGTGTTTTGTGTCAGGTACAAACAGGTGACGTGTGTGCTTGTGATTGTGATATGTGTGGACACCGACAATGGGAGAGCTGTGAATTCTAATAATAACTGAGGAAAATAAAGCATGGAAAAAGGCCTTTGAACCTATCTTTTGTTTGCAATTAACCCTGGTTGATTTAGGAGCATTGGAATTAAGGTGTTAAAGGTGTTGCTTTTTGCTTGCATTTAATCCATAAAAAGCTCTTCAATAATAACCTTTTGAAGTATAATTTTAGAATATTACTTGTATCCTTGAAACTATAGCTTTGGGATATATATAAAGGAAATATGCTTATCTCACGCCTTATTGAAGCAGAGAAAAACAGCTTGAGAAAAGAAGATGAACATCACCTCAAGGTCTTATGGTTTTGACCAAAGGGAAGCTGGACATCACTGTTATGAGATTTAGAGTCTCTGCAATTAAAAGGTGGACACACATCTGTGGAGCTGGACCCCACCAGATGGGCTTCGTCTTCTTCTTTTGGAAACTGGACCGTCACCATCTGGGGATACTCCTTTGAGATACATCCTGAGAAATTAAAATCACAATAGTGTATAGAATTGTGATGTAATAATTTGGAATAAAAATTGCTGATGAGTAAAAGATTGGAAATAGAAACTGCTGAAAAAAAAACTGATGAGTACCCCTATAAATACCTGTAACCCTCAATTATCGGTGTGCAGTTGGAGGGAAAACTTCCCCCACTGTACCCAGCGCTGTATTGCTCATACTTTACCATGTTAAATAATAAATTGATTGCTGCTTGAATATTGGCCTAGTCAAGCTTCTTATTCATAACGTATATAAATTAATTTGCTTTTAATATTTACATAGTGCTTGGTGAGAATTTATGTTCACAGCACTGACTCCAACAGTATGATCCTTGTTTTTCGGAAAAACTTTAAATCTAGTGACTCTTGGAGAAGTCTCTCTGATAAGTATGAGGTACAAACTTAGTTGCATCCTCACCTGCTCCTAGTCCTGAACTGTAGATACACCAGGGTGTTAGAGCTGAAGTCCTGCAGTGAGGCTAAAACACAGGATATTCCTCTTCAAGAGCCAAGGCCATCAGTGCTCAGTTCACTGCCTAAAAAGCAAGTGAGAAATCAAAGTTTGAAGAATAATACATTTCCCTTCATACAGAGAGATCAGTCCTAGCAGGACAAAAAGTCCCCAGAGAAAAAGGTTTTATCTCCCAGACCTTGGTCATTCCTTGGTGATGATCAGGAGCTCTACATGCAACTAAATTCATATGACTGCAGGATGGCAGGGAGAGAGATTGAGATAAGAGCCTCCAGCAAGATGCAAATGGAATTCCATCAGCTGGAAAAACCACAAAGGCTTTTAGCATGGAAAGGATTTGGGGATGGCTTTTTTCAGCCACCTGTCCACACAGGTCACTGCAGGCATAGTGACATGATGGCCATGTTTAATTCAGTGCAGAGGTTTATTTCAGGTGAGCACTGGTACTTGTCTGTTGCCTGTGACAACAGCACCCATTTGAATCAACGCTCCAAGGCTGCAGCATTCCCTAAGACACCTCTCCTGCTGTTAAACCTGTTAGGTAGGCGACAGCTTACATTTACTTCCAAGAATCCCATTTTACCCAAGTTCTGGAGCTCTTAGTGCCCTTTTCCAGGACATCTGGGCTAATGAAGCACTAAGAATCTCATCCTCACCTTTGGCTGCCAATGTTTATTCTGTAAGAAATGTTACAAGTGATCATCTCTGCCCCTTTTGACTTGCAAGACCATGATTGTGTAAACAAAAAGAGCATATTTGTGATTGCAAAAATGCGCTCTGAAAGAGTAATGTTAAATTTGTGATAAAAAGAGCAAACAGAAGTCATCAAGGAATGCACCTGGTACCATTAAATTCTCTCATTAAAGCAGCAACTGTACAAAACTTATGCATTGAGATCCTTTCAGTACCTGGAGAATGAGTTCAGCAGTGAGGAAATCTTTGAAGATTCCCACCATTCTCCTGAATTCCTGAAATTAAAGTGTAATATTAGTCTAACCAGTGAATTGTAATCCTGTACAGCTAAACTTGATTGAAGATTTAAAAGGGGGAACGCATCATTCGTACTAGTTCTGTGTGGCAGGTATGTGCAAGGTAGAGCTTGCAGAGGTAGAATTGAGTCAATCTGCATTTTAGGAGGTAGAATGCAAACTGAAGTTAGAAACAACTAAAGAATGTGGTGGGATTAAGTAAAGAACTCCCTATTGTTTATTATTGGAGTATCATAATCATACTCCAATTGTACTGCTGCTGAATACAATTCAGCAATATAAGAAATACTAAGTAGTGCTTCTAGGAAAAATATAGTGCACAAATGATGCCCACCTAACTGCCCCAACTCATCTGGAGCCATCCTACCCTTCAGGCAAGACCTCTACCTATCATCAAGGCTGTGTAAGGAGCAGAAAGCAATGCAAAACTGTTACTAGCCATCTCAAACTTGATCCAACATCCAGCTATTTAAGTGCCTGTGGGACATAATATTTCTCCAGACTCAAAAATAACATCAGAAGGTTGCCAGCCTCGTCTGGAATTGGACATCTGTATTTGGCTACAGCACTTCTGTGTGGAAGTCTAGGGTTCTTGCAGCCTTGCAGCTCAGCCTTCCATTTGTGACTGAAAATGACACAGTGGGGACAAGACGTAGGAAGTCCAGCAGCCATGAGATGAAGGAAACTGCTGAAGAAACTGGGCTCAAGATATACAGTGAGAACAAAGATGCTCCATAGAAAGATGGTAACAAAAAATGCAGAAACGTTGAGAGGCAGACAGGAGCTTAAAAACAAAAAGGTGATTTCTAGAGGAATACAGTGAAGTTTAGAAGAGTGAAAGGATGGAGAATAACAGGGATAAATGGAATAACTGCAGACGTGAGAAAAACAGCACAGAAATCTGTGAAAAGAAGTGATTCAGTAAATGATGGTGGACAGTAAGCCTTTGTTTCTGCTCAGAGACTTCTTTAAAAGGGATTGGCAGGGAAGGGAGAAAATCTACCCTTCATTATACCAATAAATTCTTAACTCTTGCTAGCCATTTTCCCCCTGCTCTGGTCCATGCCTGAAACAGTGTCATTCATCTGGCTTCCACTGACATGTCTGAAGTGGGCAGATCTGCACAGGAGTTTGTGCTGTATTCACCTCAAACAGCACAGTCCTTGCCTACTGCATGTAACAGACTGTTAAAGGAACAAGCCTGGCATTAATACTCCTGTAACTGAAATCTTCAAAATAACCCTTCTGTTAGGTTTGGAGATATCACAGCTTTGCTGAAGCACCAGCACAGAAAGGTTCAATTGCATTGGAAAATGAAAAATGCATCAATCCAGGATGCTTAAGGACAGCACAAGAGAGTGGCTGCTAAGGAAAGCTGCTGCTCCTTCAACACTCTGCATATGAATCTCAGCATCCAGAAAATGTGCTAAATCTATGATCTCCTCTCATTTCTACATGGGGGGCAAAACCATTGGTGAATTTAATTGGACAACTTGTTTTTCTGAAGGCTATCCAAGGAAAAAGCAACATCTGAGAGACAGGAGGAATCCATTTTGGAATAGATTTGCATGTATGTAGGATTCACTTCCCAGGAAAAGAAATTACTTCTGATATATATAATTCAATAGAGTAATGAGCCCACATTCAGACTGAGGATCCCAAATACAGAAATAGCAGAGACTAGCCACCTTTTTAGCTAATACACAAACTGGGAATTTATGCTGCTCATTTTCTCTCTGCAGATGGAGCTGAGGCTTTGAGCACTGGCAGCAACGCCTGATGCTTCTCCAAGGATCTGAACACAAACATTGAACGTGACACTTCAAGAGAGAACTCAAAGATTGAGGTTCTAGAGGTCTACAAGTAAAGGCACAGAGAAGACACGGTGGGGAGAGAGGAAGGAGAGGCTGCTTTGCAGAAAATATTTAGTGAACTCTCATCCTCTTGCTCGGTGAGACATATCTTCCTGCAATGGCATCCTGTCTCCTTTATCTCTTCTAGTCCACCTGTGAAGACTGAAGTGATGTTTAACCTCTGAAGATGGCAGTCAGTCGTTCATGAATCAAGGCAAACAAACCATTCCAACCTAAATAAGCTGAGTCCCACAGCTGTGGTAGAGAAGACATCTGAAAGAGAAAAAGCTCACAATTAAAAAGAATCCATCAACAACTGATATTGGCTCATTACAGTGCTGAGATTTCTCCTGTTGTCCTTGGATGCTTCTTCCCTCACCCCTCCTCTGCTTTCCTGTCTCAGTCATTTCAGCAGTGTTGTTCATTTCAGCAGTGTGAAAGGTTGTTCATTTTACAGAGGTCTTTAATGAAAGATGAAAATTCAAATATGTTATAATTAGCTGCAGTTCCACATAAGTCAGTATTATTGCAGCTTTTATATTAGATCCTCATTTGTCCCACAAATGATTGTGTCAAATATTACAGTAGAATGATTAATGACATCAGATATAATGGAAGGATTAGGCATTGATACAGGAGACTTGCTTGAGAAGAATAATTTTAACTTCTTTTCACTTATAATTTATTTTTGTCCTCTACTGTAAAAGAAATCTGAAATTGAAAATAAAAATGGCTTGTGTTACTGGCAAGTAACAGAAGAGATCTGATTCATGATTTAATTCTTCATTCAGTATTCATTGGTAGATTAAAAGCCAAATCATCGTAACAAATGGCACAGCAATGAACAACATGGAATATAAAAACCTCAGGACTTGTCCTGCTGAATAAATGTGGAATCATTTACATTTTTGAAGATAAGTGTAATTCAACAGCAAAAAATTGATTCCTCCCTCTGCAATCAGGTCTGATTCAGCATCTGTTCCATCAGGCATCATGGAATTGCCTGTGCTAACAAGCTGTTCCATGGCACACCAAAGTCACCTTTTATTTCACCCCCAATCACTTGTTTGAGCAGTTACTCAGTTTGCAAGAACAGGGTGTATGAGGAAGTTATGACACAGGAACAGGCAATAAGGAATTTAAAATGTCTAGGAGACACATCATGTCTGATAATACAAATTACTGGGAACTGTAGTTTTGCATGGTACCTTTAAGTGCTTTTTTTTCCCTGTTGCACTTAAAAGCAGAATAACTTCAAAAATCTCCTCCTTACTTTAATTTGGTATCAGCACAGAAGGCTGCAGTTTGAATCATTCTATTTAAACAAATATTAAGACATTTCCTGTTACAATCATTGGGGCCTCACAGTTCTCAAACACCGAGTCATCCTTCTTATTTCAACACATGAATATTGACTTTAGGTGCTCGAAATGCACACCTGGAGACACAGGACCTGCAGCTTTGCCTCCAGCACTATCACCAGACTCGACTTTGGGAAGGAGCTGTAGGGTCTTTTCTGAGCAGCAGCCTGGTCTTCCACTGATAGTCAGAGGAAAATCAGTGGGATACAGGAATTCCCAGTCACAGGAATTCATATTTGCAGACCTTGCTCTACAAGTTCTTTATTTCAATGCTCCAAATACACCCAGGGCTCAACAGCACTATTGACTTACAAACTCATTCAAGAGAGAGGCTTCATATTGTGCTCCGGGGTTTTTATAACCTTTGAAACAGAGTTCTTTGGAGGGCCACAGGAAGTGAGATGTAGCAGTGCTTTGGCAGGTTTTAAACTCCTAAAGCAGCAAGAAGTTTGAATATAGGTTCTCTTGGTGATAAGAAATACAGAAATACATGTATTTGAAGTCAGTGTCAGTTGAATAAAGGCAAAGGGCAGGACACAGCTGAAAAGAACTAGGACATGTAAGTAGAAGCTGAATCCCAGTGTCTCCAAGGGAAGGAGGGGGCCGCCTACAACTTCCACCCCAAACCCATGGCCTGAGGGGGAGAACAACCTCTTTCTGAATCACATTTTCACAGAAGCTGAGTCAGCTCCTGAGAGATCTTTAACTAAGTCTCTGTTCTGCAACTTTCCAATAGTCTTTTCCCATATCTTGCAAAAGGCTGAATTTGAACTTGCTCCTTTTTATTTTACCATGATTTTCCCTCATAGGAGAGAGAACAGCCTGTGTCTTTTGCCACTCAAAGCTTGCCAA